CTTTCTTCCAGCGTTCTAATTACATGACGCGACTAGTAACTACATACTAAATAAAATATAAGCAACACAAAAAACACGTAAAAAAAATATCTAGATAGACAATAATATGCTGTTTATGACAACTTTTAAAACTTAAGGCGCCTTACTCATCGGCTCGGTACAGGTTCGTTTTGTTTGCGGGAGTGACTGTCAGTGGTAAAGTGACGAGAACATATGTAACTGTTTACAGTTGGAGTCCAATCTTTACGTTTAGTTGCACTTATCCAAAGTTCCTTCATCTTGGCACATTTTGGAAACCTATGAAATAAATAAAACACGTAATGTTACTGTATTTTGATTCTCGCATCAGTCTGTAAGATATCACCTGAAATATCTCTTTAAAGATTTTGCTCGTTGCTGTTCTCGTGAAAGGCACATGCGATATACAGACTTAATGAATTTAACATTAATACGGTGACGTCCGTTGCTCTTGACTTAGCACACGCAAAATAACCTAAGTATAACCAAATTATTTATTTTGAAGGAACTTGGTAAATACTTATCAAATTTTATGCTAGCTACCACCCGCGACTTCATCCACTTTAACTTTAGTTTTTTGAAAATCCTTAAGAAACCTGACATTTTTCCGTTACAAAAAGTATTCTATACAACGATATTTTATACCCTAGATACGACAACATGTACAAAATCGTGGCCGAAACGTGACCAAAAGGTACATTTGACGATTCACAGAGGTCCGTAAGATGATCGCGTGGTCAAAATCAATGTAATGCATTATTTAAAAAAAAGTCACCTTTAATGCATACGGCATAAGCTCTTAATTAAAACGCATGCATCAAAGATTTATGGCAGTTCAAAATGCAAGTTCCTAAAATTTTACAACTTATTGTTATATGCGAAAGAAAATAGACCTTATTTTTTTAACTTTTTGCGCTCAATTCTGAATGTGCTGTTAGCTATTATAGCAGGTACAGACCGCGAAGAAAAAAGACGGCTATAGGGCGACGTATAACCGACCATGCTTTTGAGTATCACAAATATGTTATATTAAATCAGTTTATAGTAAGTATTACAATAAAATTTGCTTCAAATGCGTTAACTTTATAATAATAATAAAAACGTTTATTTGGCTCAAATTATATAAATAACTTATTGTATTACATAAAGATGACTATGTATCAAATTATAAAAACATTAATTAGATACCTGTCGAAAAAACAACACTTTACGTACTATAGTATTTTTTTCGCATTTTTACGGAGCTCTGCGGCATTTTGACTTTTCATCGGTCCGCGCGTGACTGTAAATCAAGAAGTGCTTGAATAAAGTTTAAACACTTCTTGATTGGGACACATTTTGAGCGCTCGTGGTCTATCTAGGGTATTTAATATCGTTAATTCCATGTCTTTATCTAGGTCATAAAGTATGCGCACTTAATTTCATACAAATCGGTTTAATCGTGTAATAGTAACAAACATCCATACAAATTTTCGGGTTTAAAATTTTAGTACGATATGATTAAAAACTGTTGGTTGTATACTCATGATATCTGTTATTGTATACGATGAAATAAATAGTTTTTATTTATTTTTTCTATTTCCGTAGCTGGCAAACTTATCGATAAACTTACGGGTACAGACATGAGCTGCGTCAAGTCACTAGCAATACACGTGCCGGTGTGAGAGCGGAATAGCATATATGATGTAGCGCATGCGAGAAAGGGATAGTGTTAAAAGACATCAACGCGTTCACCAAAAAATAAATACAATTAAAAGCAATTTCATATAAGAGTATTTTTGTCTTTTTGTAATGCATTTAAACTTACCGGTGAAAAGTAATACCATCTTTTTGAAGACTGGAAGTTTTACTCCACTTTCCACATAATTTAATTGCACAGTACGGCATTTTTTCTAGTTTTTTAACGCAAAAACGAGAGAAGCACTTCTGCTAACGCTCGGCTTCGGAATGAAACGATGTATAGCGACGTCTGTGGGCGTGTCTCACGCATACGTAATATACTACTTAAGCTTGGCGTAAGCGCTTGCCCTTGTATGCGGACTCTAGTGGGGGTGCTCCATGGCCATGACCCACCACGCGGGCTCAGTGAGGATTGGTGGGTGCTAACGACTGCAGATGCAGCCGGGACCAACAGCTTAACGTGCGTTCCGAAGCACGGAGGAGCTCGAGATACTAAATTTTTGGTCACCCATCCAATGACTGACCACTGCGAAAGTTGCTGAACTTCAACGATCGCAGCCGAACGCGCTGACCACTTGCGCCGTCGAGGTCCTCAATTCAATAATATTAATAGGGAAAATAACGAAGTTTCGTAATGAATACAGTCAGTTAAACATTATCATTCAATCTGTTTTCAGCAAACATCCGAATGATTGGCTTCCACCTGGAAATACAATATTATGCAGTACTCACTTCATTACCAACAAAATATCACAAAATCCTTTACGTCCTTTAATCCGTCATACGTTCCTACAATTTACCCTGGTGAAGAAAAGTTATCAATTTTTGAAGTGAAACTTCTTTATCGGCGTTGGAAAAAAATTTACCGTCACATTTTTCGGTTACGCGTCACATTTTTCCGTTACGCGCCATCTTTTTTTATATTAATAGTTGATAGCTGAATGATCACACTGTCGCCGGCGAGAACTCTCTCTACTCGTTTGTAGCTGAGTGACAATAGTTATTAAAGATAAGACTCGCTCAGCCAAACTCGCATAGCGATACGCGCTCAGCGATACTCGCTCGGTTAAGCTGGCTTGGCTGTCAAAAGCCGTGCGCGTGCATTTTAACTCAGGACTGCCAATTCGTTTCTAGTTTCTACTCGCTTATCGTTCATCGTCGGAGGTGGAACATGTGCCTTAGATTACTGAGCCGTGTAATCATAACAGTTTCATAGGCAGTAATTTGTATTCATGTCTATGATAATAAAATCCTTTTGTTTAAACTTTATCTACTTAATTTAACTTTATTTAACCAATTTCTGGAAAGTTGCATGTAGATCATTTTTCGAAAAATAAGGCCATAAAGAAGTTTCACTTCTTACGTGTGTACACTAGTACACGCACACATTTTTTTTGAGTGTGTATGCCCATAGCATACCTTTACAGCGTCACAGGGTTTGGGGACGGTGAGATCCTAAGGGGACCTCAAGCCGAGAATTGGCGAATGCCTCTAGAGGTATTCCAGGCGGATGGCGTCTCCCCACGGGAGGAGTCTGCTCTCCGTCTGGAGCCTCTAACCCACTAGAACCCGAGGGGGAAAAGTTATCACAGTCTCATTTTCCTCATTTATTATCTCTTCTACCTCCAATACGACCTCCGTGGCCGAGTGGTTTGTACGCCAGGTTTCATGGTGTCACCAACTCGAGAGGTCCCGGGATCGAATCCCGGTGGGGGCAGATGTTTGTGTGATGAATACGAGCATTTTGTACTCTAGTCATGGATGTTTAATAAGTATTTCTATAGATATAAATTAACTTATATATGTACAGTATATGTACCTATTCTATCTTTTACCCTAGCATCCCATTACACAAGCCTTACAAAAAGCATTTTTCTTTCTTTCTTTCAAAGCACGATGATAGATCTAATCATCTTCAGCCTATTAATGTCCCCACTGCTGGGGCACAGGCCTTCCCTATGGATGGAATAGGGAGATTGGGCCATGACCCACCACGCGGGCCCAGTGCGGATTGGCGGGTGCTAACGACTGCAGATGCAACCGGGACCAACGGCTTAACGTGCCTCCGAAGCACGGAGGAACTCGAGATAGAAGATTTTTTGGTCACCCATCCAATGACCGACCACTGCGAAAGTTGCTTAACTTCAACTATCGCAGCCGAACGCGCTAACCATCTGCGCCATCGAGCTCCTCTGTAGGTCTAATAAGTTTCCTTTACTCTCCGCAAAGTGTCTCTTTTGTCGATTTAGCATTGCGACCCATAGTTCCTGCACGTGCCCTAACTAAATTTCCTGTCATTACTAAGCTATTAATAATCTGGCATTTTACATTGGACTGGAACGAAGATAAAACCAGTACGTACTACTTAATACGGTCGAACATTTCAATTAGTCGTATGTATTAATTAAAGTTGACATTATAGATATTAACGGGATTGTTACCATGTACCTTGTTTTTTATGAGTCTCCGATATTTCGGCACTGTTGCAAGCGCCATGATCACGGAGTAAATCCGTGATCATGGCGCTTGCTCTTTTCGTAACTCCGTGATCATGGCGCTTGCAACAGTGCCGAAATATCGGAGACTCATAAAAAACAAGGTACATGGTAACAATCCCGTTAATATCTATAATGTTAGTGACCATGAAAGTTTAAAACAATATAAAGTTGATATTGTTTCAATTCTGAACGGTAAAATAGTTTATTCTACCAGCACACAAACTTGACCAAAGTCGTAACATATTTGTTTCTTAGGTTTTCACGCACATCACTCATTAAATAAAACTAGTTTTAACAGGTTAATGCACGAAACTTTATTTATTTATTGACGTTTCGCAGCCTTTTCAGGTCTGCTTCGTCAGAATGATTTTTTATTTAATTAACATAAGAAGGAGATAGAAAGCCTCTCTTGAGTTTGTTTCGCCGGTTCTTCTCAGAAAAGTCTCACAATTTCGGAACCGGTGGTTACGGTAGTTTACGGTAGTTAGGGTCAAATAAATAAACTCAAAATTACAAAAAAGAATTTTAAATGAAGTACTTTATTAACTAAATTAACTAATAAATTCATACATAGACAATAAAACTTTAAAAATCTAACAATGAAATAACCGAACGCTCAATAAAAGCCTTTCGAAGGTAGCTCGAAAAAATTAAATAGAAAATCATTCTGACGAAGCAGACCTGAAAAGGCTGCGAAACGTCAAGAAATAAATAAAGTTTCGTGCATTAAGCCGTTAAAACTAGTTTTATTTAATGTCGTAACACTCCAATAAACTAATATTATTTAGGTTTTCGTCAATAAATACTCAAACAATTAAAAAATACGACATAAAATTGTAAGCTTTCTTTGTATTTTTCTTAACATAAAATCTTAAACAGTCCTCCTATATTTAGCGTAAATGTCGTTCCAGTATAGAATCCTTTCGTCGTCCCACAATGGCGCTGTTTTGAGCTCTTTGTCTATGACCAAACGCTGCGGGTCTTCCTTATCTATGGGCCGCCATTTGATAGGCAGCAACGAGGTAGTTTGCGGCGTGGGGTCCCTGGAAGGAAGCGGGAATTATATGTCACCTATTGTTACTCCGCCCTTGATGGCTTAGAAATGTCGTGCGTACGAATTCCGGGATTCAAACTGAATTGCGTTACTCTGAAGCACCAGTTGGTTACGGCCTGCCTTATCTACATTGTTTATGCTTCAGAGCAAGGACTACCATTTAGATTAACAAGAAAGAAAAGAACATATAAATTGGGACTGCAGAGCAGAGATATCTACAATTCAAATGTTCAGAATTGTACTGATGTTAGACTGGAGCTCCAGTAAGTAAATAATATGAAGTCGTTTAAATCTAAAGAAAAGTTTACTAGAAAAAAATCCACGCGGACCAGGCAGCGGACGGGACTCGAACCCACATCCTTCCCTATCCGGGCAAATGCACTGACCATTATACTACCACGGCCCTATTGGCCGCGTCGAAATTTCTATTTTTAATTTTTTTCTAGTAAACTTTTCTTTAGATTTAAACATCTAGCAGTTAAATGCTTAAAAAATAAATAAAATCATAAATATGAAGTCGTGTTCCGATAAAATATGGAGTTGCAATTACTATTTAAGCTGTCTCGATTATTTAGAGAATTAAAAAAGCAGGCATGAGTGTCCTGCAACACTCGGTCGGAGTTAAATTAACAATAAACATAAGGTTAAGTACACAACTACACACAATATAAGCTCCAAAACAACTGACGCTTGTGACGGAAAAATCCTACACCTTTATTCGCCTAGTCCCCATCTGCCAAGTACGTACCGGCCAAAAAGGATCTTCGTGCCAACTAGACGTTTATTAGAGCAAGAATGTTGTTTACAGTACACTAAAGTGTACAAGTAGACGAGTACTGAAGTATCCCAAATCCAGTCATATTTATTACATGATATACATTTTCTTTGAAAATAATCAATATAACATTAAGAATATTAGTGTTCATCATCATCATCATCAGCCTTTTAATGTCCCCACTGCTAGAGCACAGGCCTTTCCTATGGATGGGTTAGGGAGATTGGGCCATGACCAGCACGCGGATCCAGTGCGGAATGGCGGGTACTAACAACTGCAGATGAAGCCGGGACCAACGTACGTGCCCACCACGCGGGCTCAGTGCGGGTTGGTGGGTGCTAACGACTGCAGATGCAGCCGGGACCAACGGCTTAACGTGCCTTCCTTAGCACGGAGGTGCTGAAGATAGTAAATTTTTGGTCACCCATCCAATGACCGCGACCACTGCGAAAGTTGCTCAACTTCAATGACCGCAGCCGAACACGCTAACCACTGGCGCCACCGAGCTCCTCGTATATATTAGTGTTATCGGTAATAAATTAATTTGAAATTCCAAAAGTATATTCTCAAGAAATATATTGCACTCACCCATATTTCGCAAAGTTAGTCCACATTGTAGTAACTTTTTTAATTATATCGCTCTCTATGAGCTCTTGGATAACTACAGGGATCTTGACATTGAACATGTAAAAGAGCTCATCAGCATGGGTCGCGCCTGGCTCATTCACAAAACCGGAAAGAAGTTTCCCAAAATTCATAGAGCCATCATATGAGAACTTGTATGAATATATTGGTTCATCCGATGTCTGCGTCAATAAATGCGTCGTTACTACCGTAGGATAAACGACAGCCGCATCCCCTTCATAGAAGGAGAACTTCGGCATAGTCTTCTTACTTATTTCGTCGTTGCCCATATAAAGCTGTCTCATCTTTTTTGCATTCTCAACCTTTTCTTCGTCACTGGGAAATAGAAGATCTCTAGGTGTCGATCCATAAAAACTTATTTTTTTTATGACTGTATCGTTTTCTTTGCCGGCAAACCAATATCCTTCGGCATTGTTGTGGCCTATTATCAACGGCATCTTTTTATACATGCCGTTGATTAATATGTTATAGGGTGTATCAGTAAGGAACGACTCTTCGCCAGATATAATATTCTCCTTGCAAGGTACGAAGATATTCTCCGATGATATGACATCTCCTTCGTTCCTTGGGACTCGAGTAGACATTAACTCATCAGCTGTGTTATTGATAAATATTCTGTATATTTCATAGGGATCCATCGTATCGTAGCCCATTGATTTAGCTAATAGGCTTGCCGTTTGCAAAGGTTCGAATTGGAAGCTCCAGGAAGAAAGAGGTGTGCCACTCTGCATTATTCCTCTTCGGAAAAGTCCTTTCGACATCGGCGACATGAGATGGTACAACACCGAAGCAGAGCCAGCACTTTCGCCAAATATCGTGACATTGTCAGGGTCACCGCCGAAAGCTTTGATGTTTTCCTTGACCCACTTCAGAGCGGCGACTTGGTCTTTGAGGCCGGCGTTTCCAGGGGCTTCCTTGATTCCGAGACAGAGGTAACCTAATAGCTCCACCCTATAGTTGAATGTGACAAGGATAACGTCTCTTTTGACTAAATATTGTGGCCCGTAGATGAATGGAGAGCCGGATCCATCTCGGAAGCCGCCACCATGTATGAATACCATGACTGGTCGTAGTTCCATGGAGGTAGTCGGAGGTGTATAGATGTTTATGGTGAGGCAATCCTCTCGTCCTATGATGGCCATTGAAAATCTCTGCACGCATCTGATGTTTTCGTCAATCGCGAGTAAAGTACCTTCCCAGGACTTCACGGGGCCTGGAGCCTGGAACAATAATAAGTTATCAATCTTCACTTAGGTCTACACCTAATAAAAGCTCAGTTACCTATATAATACCTAGTGTTACCTTTACGGCATCACTTACAGAACATAGTATATTATACTAACCCAACGCAACAAATAAAGCTTTGTATTCTTAAAAACACGTATTAATCTTCGATTTGTATTGGAGAGCCTCCTTGCATCGAGTATAGTGTTGTTATTTCTTCATAGCATATGGGGATAGGATCAACAGGGACAATTTTTAAAATTTTTGCATTCTTAATTTTTTATTTAGACAAGTGCTTAACTTAGAGCATGTGTACAGCTCTGGCAAGAAATCTCTTTCGATGCCACGGGATCGATTTCTAGACTCCAGAATTAAAATTTTATTACTCTTAGTTTGTATTTATATGAGAAAAAGAAAATGTTTTGCCATTCCCTTCGATGTATATTTTGTTTCTTCGCTTAGGTCGTCTCACCTGGAACCTATTCGGGACGCTGGCATACGGCACGCCCAAGTATTGTATGTGAGTGCCCAGCGGCGAAATCGTGCCTCGCAGCCAGCCACCGGTCACTCGCACCTTCGGCGTGAACTGATGCACCAGCTCTGCAGCCCAGAGGGACCATAGGACAATCCACTTCCAAGACACTAGCGGACGTCTACCTGCAAACCCAGCATTCTTACTTCTCTGATAGCGGTTGTACACACTCGCCGAGAGCCTCTCGTCGATTTTTGCCCGAGGAGGTATTCGGCGAGAGTGTACGTACATTCATGCTCTCAATTGTCTTGCGAGATCCGCTGACTGAGTACACTAAACCGACAAGCTGAGACCCACGAGACGATGCTCGAGCGATCGAGACGACGAGCGACCATGTTAACACACGGTCTCGGCCTGTCTCGAGGTGTATTAAGCGAGTGAGTACAACCAGCATGAGGTTTATTGTTTAAAACTTTCATGGTCACTAACATTATAGCTATTAACGGGATTGTTACCATGTACCTTGTCATGATGATCACCATGATCATGGAGTTACTCCGTAATCATGACGCTTACAACAGTGCCGAAATATCGGAGACTCATAAAAAACAAGGTACATGGTAACAATCCCGTTAATAGCTATAACAGCATGAGGTTGTAGCTGGCAACACTAGAAGCAAAATAATCTAATTATGGCGAGCAGTATAAGCGAAGAGAAACAAACCTCGTTTATCATGTTGCTAAATCTTTTTTCGTACTTTAACGAGCGACGAAACTAATATAAGCTCTAGATGTGAACTGGCAAATTAGTTGTTCTCGCTCCGTCGTGTATTTGCATGTGTTGTCTGCACAAGTTGTTTTAGATGAATTTTGTTCTTTAAAGTCGTACCTACTTGTCATCGATATGTCAGGTAAAAAGAGGAATACGTGAACACTACGTCAGCGTACTGTAAACTGACCCCGAGTTTTCATAGTATTTAATACACCCGTATGTAGCCGGAACGGGCAGCTAGTGTTCAAATAATGAGGTATTGAAAAAAAGGTAAATTTAAAAAAATCCAAAAACCCGACTGCTTAATTATACTTCAAATAAAAACTGAAAAGAAAAAAACAAGTCCAGTAGTCTGTTAATAAGGAACAAAGCTACTTAAACAGTCGAGACCCATTATTGAAAAATATTATGTATTCTTGAATATCTAATGGGTCCCGACTGTTAAAGTAGCTTTGTTCCTTATAAACAGTAAGCCTTTTAGTCCTTTTACACATTTGCATTCCGTTCGAAAGATATTCAGTTTTGTCATTCACGCTCAATTTAATGAATCAATTCTTTAACCTCATCTATAAAATGTTTATTTTATTTAACATTCGAATCTAAAGATATTATGATAGATTAAAAAATGTAATGATACATGCTTACTACAATACACAAGAGTTCTTTAGTGACACTTCCTTGAAAGAAATGGACATAATTACGTATACATACGTACATAAATTTATTATTATTATTTATTTTTAGTTTGACATATTGCTTAGTAATATTGACATAAACATATTTTGACATTTAATTCTAACTATGACTTGTTTGATTGTAATTGTAATTTATTAATATAGATTTTTATATAATTGTTTACCTAATTATTTCAGAAAAAATATTGTATACCTTGTAATAAGGTTGAAATGTAGTGACACTAAACTTTTAACGTAACACCAATTTGCTGTACTAACCTACATTTCACAATAAAGCTTTTGAATTTAAACTTAAAGAAGAACGAAATAATTTGTTAGGATGTAATTGCACAAAAAAGTTTCACTTTAAAAATAATTATGCTTGTTTTGTACGATCTGATGTAGAAGCGGAGACCTTGTTCTAGATAACCAAATCTGTCTTACGCACCCAGTTAGAGTAACAGTACTTAGCTTGTTTATAAATTGGACTACTTAGTTTTTTTTTCTTAAGTCTCCGTCTACAATCTAGACAAAGTAGTACTGTAAGAATTGAAAAAAAGTCGCTTCTACCGTGTGTAGGTGTACGCTTAGATCTTTTAATGTATGCAACTAATTTTAATACAGATTTCACCAATAAATAGATGGATCGCAGGCGACTGTGGTGCGCGGCTAGGGTCGCCATCATTTAGGAATATCAAAAGTTTTGACAAAAATCCAAACATTTCTAGAAGATTTTCGACGAGATCCGTGAGGGCCGCGGTAGCATAATTGGTCAGTGCATTCGCCCGGATTGCGAAGGGTGCGGGTTCGAGTCCCATCTGCTGCCTGGTCCGCGTGGAATATGTTCTAGTTATATTTTCTTTAGATTTAAACATCAAGCAGTTACATGCTTTACAAATAATATAAAATTATAACTATAATTGCTATTTCTTCTTTCAAATGTTTAATACTTGTAAAAGTATTCATTTGACATTGTGGGTTACCTATAATGCGAATAGATGGCGCTGCCTTGCAGCTTAAGAATGGCTAGAAGATTTTCGACGCGGTCCGTGTGGGCCGCGGTAGCATAATTGGTCAGTGCATTCGCCCGGATTGCGAAGGGTGCGGGTTCGAGTCCCGTCTGCTGCCTGGTCTGCGTGGAATGTTTTCTAGTTATATTTTCTTTAGATTTAAACATCAAGCAGTTACATGCTTTAAAAAAAAATATGTACTTTTATTATTCATATGCAAAGTAATTAAATACAACAATAGTCTAAAGTCTGGACATGTCCGAGCTAATCCGGGCGGATGTTAACTTTACGCGCGGCTGATGCGATCAATCATTGTATGAAATTGTATGGCACCGTACGGCCGACATCTGTCGTAGGTCGTACGTGTCCGTCGCAGTTCGCAGACTTCGGAAGGGTGCCAAACACTTTCATACACTAAACTATTGTCGCATCAGCCGTGCAAGACAAATCCCACCAACCACCCATGGCCTGGCGAACCTTCTTGGTTATGCAGGCCGAATGGCCTCCACCGCGCGTACTTTCTTGACTCCCTACAAATTGTTCTTTATCTGTCTCCTTTGTCCCTATGGTCCCTCTCCCCTTTCTGGGGCGGACGCACACGAAACGCCTTCGTCGCAAATTCCAGCCGTCCCGTGCCCACTATGAAGTGGTACCGCTAGCCTCCAGTATTGCTCCCTGTCTTCTTTCTTCGCCTCCCTCGAGTCCACTCCGAATCCTGTGCCATCTACGCGCGAAGTCCCGTAGCCGCCTGAAGTTCGCCTCCGATCCCACAAGGTCGCGATAGTAGACCGGCCCAACCTCGAGCACCTTCACACTATCAAGAAGTTCCCTACGCGCCTCACGGTAGAGCTTACACTCCCACAGAGCGTGGTATGCGTCCTCTACTACTCAGCCGTGCAAGACAGTCGCAAATCGTGCTCAAAGCAGACCGTTTGTACGGAAACCGATGTCGCTGTCTCGCCCCCACTACACTTTCATCATCATCAACAGCCTATCATAGTCCACTGCTGGACATAGGCCTCTCCAAATGCACGCCACTCAGATCAATCTTGGGCTACTCGCATCCAGCTCCTGCCTGCCTGCGCAAATCGTCACTCCATCGCGCCTGAGGACGTCCTACACTACGTTTGCCTAGACTACGTTTGCCTACACTTCCACCTAATAGATAATAGCCAATCAAACGACGCGACATCAAACAATCGACCCAATCAGCGCCCGCACCCAGGAGCAACGGTGCAATCAGCAATTACTTTTGATTAAGTTATGAGCATTTGCGCATACATTACTATGGCGCGCCTGCCCTGCGACAAGGCCCTTCTAACCTCATTCTGTGTTCTGTGGATCGATGGCCATTGGTTGGTCATTATATGAAAATGTATGGCACCGTGCGGCCGACATCTAACAAGAGTCGAGGTCCGAGTCTCAGAGACGCCCTCTAGTTGAGCCGACCCTCAGGTTCAAGTGGTCTAGAGGCTCTAGACGGAGAGGAGACTCCCTCCGTGGAGAGATGACATCCGTGTGGAATACCTCTAGAAGCACTCGCCAATTCTCGGCTTGAGGTCCCCGTAGGATCTCGCCGTCCCTTAACCCGGTGACCCCCCAACAGCATACACACTCGAAAAAAAAATGCCGACATCTGTCGTACGTGTCCGACACAGTTAGCAGACTTCGGAAAGGGCGCCAGACATTTTCATACATTAAATTTGTGAGGGACAGAAAGTGATTTGGACTTACGATTTTTTATTTTCTCCGATAGCCTTTAGAGCAGCGCCAGACTGCCTGTATTTTCGTAAGTTTCCAGATGTAGGAATGTTATCTTGAGCTAGTCCTATTTGTCCTTCACGTAATCTGTTGATTTGATGATGTTCTTTTGTGCTCGTTGAACAACCGCCGCGCTGTCTATATATAATTTGGATCGGGGCTTTTCAGAAGTCGACCGATCGCTATGGCGTCGTAGTTGTAAGGGGGCGTCCATAAATTGCGTGAGGTGTTTTTTTGAATTTTCTGTTCCTCCCTCCCCACCTGGTGAGATGTCGTGAAATTTTATACAACCCCCTACCCCATCCCCCAATCTCACGTGAGATTTTTCATAATGTGGGTTTCTTAGGTAAACCCGTTGGATTGTTAATGTAAAAAGAAAAAAAAATTGCTTCGTACTTTTATTTACGACTACCTATTTAAGACTAGTAATCAATATTGCTGGAGGAGGAGCTCGATGGCGCAAGTGGTTAGCGCGTTCGGCTGCGATCGTTGAACTTAAGCAACTTTCGCAGTGGTTGGTGATTGGATGGGTGACCGAAAATTACTATCTCGAGCTCCTCCGTGCTTCGGAAGGCACGTTAAGCCGTTGGTCCCGGCTGCATCTGCAGTCGTTAGTACCCACCAATCCGTATTGGGCCCGCGTGGTGGGTCATGGCCCAATCTCCCTATTCCATCCTTAGGGAAGGCCTGTGCCCCAGCATTGGGGATATTAATAGGCTGATGATGATGATGATGAATCAATATTGCTGACAGTTTAAATCTTAAGCATGTACAATCTGGACTAAATGGAGCAAAATAGTATATTTTTTTTTTGTTTCAATCAGAAAAAAATATTGCGTGATATTTGCCGAGACCCCCCCTCTCTCCAACGTAAGATGATTTTACTCGACCCCCTCCCCCCTTAAACATCTCACGTAATTTATGGAAACAGGCAGCTGACAGATACTGCCTGTCTACCCTCGTATTGCAATAAAAAATCGTCCAAGGGATAGGAAAAGGTGGGTAAGCGGGTGTAATGTTACGTTATCATATCTAACGCATTCAATATATTAGAAACCGAACAAATTAGTTTAAAGAAAATATAACTAGAAAAATATCCACGCGGACCAGGCAGCAGACGGGACTCGAACCCGCACCCTTCGCAATCCGGGCGAATTCACTGACCAATTATGCTACCGCGGCCCTCACGGACCGCGTCGAAATTCTTCTAGCCATTCTTAAGCTGCAAGGCAGCGCCGTCTCTTCGCATTATAGGTAACCCACAATGTCAAATGAA